AAAAGGAGTGACTGTCGATTATTCGGTGTCTAAACAAACTAGAGCCGGTCCTGCAAGCACGGCGCGGCGCGGCGCCCCACGCCGCCGTCGCTTAACAAGGACCTCGTTATAATATTTTATTACGTCTCTCGTATATTATAATGCCACGCTGCGCAGCGCAAGGTTTCCTGCGGGCGAGAGGTCGAGGTAGCTTTCGCGTAGTCATGTAGTCGTAGAAATTTACTGCTGTGTTTCGTAGAAGGAATTGGGTACCCATACACATTGAGACTTCGACGGGGCCCATCGTGATCAACGAAGCCATGATTGAAAACGCCGGTAGAATGACTTATCACGTTGTCAGTCGGATCTGCATATATTGACGAGAGTGTATTTCGCTTTCGAGTTGTTTCAGCTCGACCCGGTCGAGTAGGTATGCGAGTTTCAGACATCGCCTTTTCGACCGCCACGCGTGAACCTCGAAGAATGCAACTCCAACCGGCTAGAACGTCTATTAATATCTATTTACATTAAATCGGTACGTCTCGCCGACATTTCTTTGCTGATTCTATTAGCGTCGACATTACAAAGCGTTCTATTTGCATACTTTTGATATGCATCTGCCATAATTTACAAATTCTTTTAAGTATAGAGATAAAATAGATGTATTTTGAGGATATTATCTTACATAATCTTTTAATTTTTATTGTTTTAACAAATTAGATAAAAATTCTTTAAAAATTAAATACATATTTCACGTAATATGTAACTTTCTCTTTCGGGCATACTCAATTACGAATAATCTATAAAGTGAGTTTGCACGTAATGCAATTAAGAATTATATCAAACAATTTAAATGCGCATTACATTTACTTTTTCCGGATATCCGCTGTTGACATGACAGCGAATGTTTCGAAAGGTTACACGTGAAACACGTTTCATAACAGATTTATTACATATTTCTCTCGGTATTATACGTATAAAATCATATAACAATATTTTAATTAAAATTTTACAGGCTGTTAAACAATGGAGACAGTTGAGGACTAAATTAAGTTTCTCTGTTATTTTCATTTAAAATTTAATTTGCGAGATAATTTTTTAATATTTAAATGGAAGTATCTACTTCAGGGAAGTTTACGATGATTTAAGATGTTTATTAAATTATTTAACTGTATACTTTGTAACGTCCATAGCATTGTATAATCACTATCAGACCATAACGTATATATGATATATTGATAATTCTATCATTTAATTCTGCAGAGTTTATTACATTATAGTTTGTTAAACGTTTGTGCTGCAATGAGGTCAATGAGATTGTTTTGTGACAGATACTAATATGCATGCACGGCTACAATAAATGGTGTGGCCAATTGCAACCATGCAATTTTGTGCGCAGCCATAAATCTTTATCTTTAATTACAACGCATCATTTGCGTGATTTAAAACGCTCAACGATCGCACCTCTCTCGCGTTGTAATAAATTATTGAAGTGGAAACAATATAACTCATCGCATAATCACTCGTTTTGCATTATTGCTATCACACAGCAATTCTTTTTCTCTCTCTCGCTGTATTATAATTGTATAACTTTACTCAACATGTTTTTTCCGAATCAGCGTTTTAAGGTTATCATTAGGAGGTTATCATTAGCCTAACGTTGAGAAATTTCTATTTACGTTTTCTATATAATGGAAAGAGGATGTTTCTTTGAAAAATAAATTCGTATTATATTTATTAAGTTTCCTCTTTCGCGACCGGGAAGGAAATACGACGCGTGTATTGCAACTCAAACCATCGCGTTTACTCAGCTTGCACACGTCGAGATTTAAATCGTGTTTCCGCATGTAGTCGACACGTCGCCGCGCCGCGTCGACGACTCTGACGCGTGCGAAACGTGCTCGAGACGCCGATCGAGAGGCGAAACGTGCAATCCCACGCGCGAACGCACTTCTCGCGAGGGCAGTCCCGAACGGGTTCAGGTGTCGCAGGGTCCGCGCGCGTCATTCTGTATCCCCTGTCGTACCCCACGATAAGAGGCAACGAAGCGAATGCTTTTCGCGGTCCAACGGCCCGAAAACGAATTACCCCTCGTCGTAGACGTTATCGAGGAAATATTGGAAAGTCCGCGTCGCCGCGTCTCGAGTGGCCTCCATTCGTTTCCGGCGCGACGATTCGAGTGCGTCGAAGGCTGAGCGACGATTTCTGACTAATGTGGCCTACGAAATCCAACGAGAGCGTGCGATAAAGAGGATCTCGAAAGCGTGAGAATGGAACAGCTGGATAGATCAGATCGGAAGAGGAAATAGCTTTATCGCGCTCAATGGGTGGCAATGTAAGATTACGTACGAAGAACGGAGTACGACATTTATTCTTTGTGTAAGCGTACCCTTTTAAGGCGCATTATACAATACAAAACTCTGTTACGTGCAGCTTGAACGCGCACCATAATATCTCACTGACTTTTGTTTCGACTAAAATACATTTCGGCGTTAACAATATTCGTGGATTTTTCGTGTATACTTCGAATTCAATATATTTTTCCTCAAAATAAAGTCCATATTTGTAAATGCAATATTGGTACAGTTTTAACATTTGGTTTTTAACTCGAATAATTATTTTGCCGTAGAATACAAAACTATATTCAGAGTTATGATGAATTGAAAAGTAATATAGGCAAGTTTGCTGAAATCTTAGTGTATTTGCGATAGAATTTTTAAAAATAAGAATTGAGCGAAAAATTAGTGTTGTTCAATGAAACCAATTTCTCGTGAAAGGCAGACGGTAATGGAAAGGCGGATTGATGACAAGTGAAAGGTTGTGTTCGTCTTTTAGTCGGTGTTAGTTGGTCTGTGGCTATGAATAGCTTCACGAACTCTCTTGCAACAATTCAGAATGTCTGATACATCGAGTCCATAATGTTGAGGTAAACATTTCAACGCTCTACTATACCGCTACATATTGATATTCGCTGATTATGCATTGCGACGGGCGGTATATGCTTCAATTACGATGCGTGGTTAATGAAACAATTGCGTGTAGGGTGGTGGCAATTATTCATGAGTGGTTTAGGGCTTGTGGTAGTCAGAGCTGGTGCGCGATACAAACTACTGACGGGTAATTATTTAATGTCCAATACTTAATTACAGCGTGCCCCGAGCATTTATCGTTTTATCTGAAATAGATTTTCGACGCTTTTGTGCCCCGACGTAACAGAGGTGCGCAGATCTTTAAAAGACGCAGATCACCCTGTACCCGGTTACCTCATCGCGATAGCCTTGTTTGCCGCAACACCGCTCGTTCGAATTAAATCACTATCGATAATACGCCGTTAACAGCCCTATCTGATAATTGCGCGTGCTACGTTGAGAATAACCACAAAGTGGAAAACGATCGCTTTAAAAGGGAATTCCGATACGAGATATGCGTGACGGCCAATTTTCCTGTTCTCAAGTCGTCCCTAACCGGATTTATACTTGAAATTATACCGGTTTTGTACCCGAAGTTATTACCGTGCAGCACAGAAATGAGGGACGAATGAAGTCCGAGGTTTTGCTCTCGTTGAAGGAATACGATTAACACGTAACCTCGGAAGAAATTGATGCTATTATGTACTTCCACTAAAATGTAGTACCGAATTTATTGAGATATAGACTTGTTGATCTAACTTGTTGAATATACCTTTTTCGCGAATATATGTATGTTACGGATATTTTTATTTAAAACTCTATTTTTTTACGCTGCATTACCTCTATGATAGGATCGTGTCACAGACCATAAAATTAGATGTGACGTACGATGTATTTAACATTTATGCGATGTTTTTCTCACTTCTCTATAAAACATGAAACGTATTTTTGTTTGCTGTATTATAAAAAATATAACGCACAAAAAAGATATATTAATTTAAATATATAAATGATATTTAAAACAACGCAAACGAAAAATAATATAAATTCACCGTTGAAAAATAACAAACGACAGCGAACATAAATATTCGTTAGAAGATAATAATGTCTAAAGCATAAACATTTTGTTTTATATTTATCCCTATGTTTGCACGACAAATTTAAAAGTCGTGAGTACTTTGTTTTGCTACGAAATTACCTCTATATATCTTTACTAGAACATTACAGTATATTGAACAATTCGTAGATTTTATAAATCTATCGCTTTCTGTTGTTAAAATCTTGAAGAACAGTTGATCTTTATAGAAAGAGCCACTTCTTTTCCCCTTAAGAAATAATAATGCTCACAATATTATATTTTTTGTATACATTGCAATTTATTACGCGTATCGATACTGCTTTATAATTAATACATGACCCTTTGTGAATTGTGTGCGATAAAACTTCCGAACATTCATTAAATATTAATTTTTATATCACTTTGGAGTACGTTGAATTGCGCAGACGGTGGCAAGATTCTCTTTTTATGCTCTTTCGTTAGATACTATTATTTTCCACGGAGACGAGATAAGTTTAAAATTATGTATCGAAGGAAACTCCGTACAATAAGCACATATATATCGCAAAGAAACTTCTCTCATTGTCGCTTACGATAAGCTCGAACTTATCTCGTTCTCTAAACTTTCATAAATTGAATCTAAATATTAAAAGTGCTTGTGAATTTCAATAGGTTTTCAATATTATTCACTAGATGAATACAAATTAAAAAAAAAATCATCTTATAGGTTTATCGAATTGATTACCTTTAATGTGTACACTATAAAATTAAATCTATTAACAAAACTAATGTCGTAGAAACTTATCAATTTTTTATTTCAATTACATATTTTTTCTTTCTCAATAAATCAATTCAATTAATCTGTATAAAAACGTAAATAGTAACAAAAGAAAAAGCAAGCAAACAACGATTACTTCTTTATTGGACAATTACACGGATCTTCGTTAATGTAGCAGGACAATAAGCAGCGAAACGGCTGAACGAATACCGGCCTCCTACTCTCTCGCCTCTTCATTGCCCTACGAGTCTTATAAAGATCAGCAAAAACGCCTTACCCAGTAGCTTGTGAACCTCCGCGAAGCTGAGGAAGAGATTGAAGGAACTCTCGGCTGGCCGCGCGATGACGAATAGCAATATCACGAGTCTCCAGAGCATCGTGGCCGCCACGTGACGTTTGTACTCGTGTATATATTTACAGCCGCACGCGAGAACACCCGCACAACACTCGTTACGAGTCGTCCCACGCGCCGTTCATATTTCGCGCGATGCAAATCCACGACGCGGGGGGTAGCCACCCCCGGCACACCACTCCGCGTGTGCACGTGACGGCTTTTTTCCTCGGCCGCGTGCAATTCCGCGCGAAAACGCGCCGGTCCCGCGACTCCCGTTTGACAGCTCGTACACGGCACGCGCGTTATATCCGACGCAGGGGCACTCCCACACGCGAGAAATGCGCGATCGAGGCTGCTCCGACGTCCCGATGCTCCACGGTGCGTGTCGAAAGACGCAAGTACAACGAAATCGACAGGAACGGTGCAGCAACACGGAATGATGCGAGCGGAGCGGAACGCTCATCGAGAGCGCGCGGCGTGCCTGCCTCGTGAAAGCCACAACCAGTTGTGTGCTACCATCGCCATGGGTCGTCTGGGGTCGGAGCAGGCCTGTCTACCGAGAGCAACCGAGTTTGGCCGAGACTTGCCGAGGTCCACCTACGAGGGAATCCAACGATGGTCGTGTCGTGGTCGTCGGTCCACGACCAGGAGATCGAACGGCCGCGCTCGAACGAGACCGGAATTGAATTTAAAATTCACTGACATGGTGATATCGCGCGAGCGCGCAGAGTCGCCAAATAATGCATTAACGCAATCCGTTTATTGTTTGCGACTCGACTCAATTTGCGATAACTGGGACGACAGGACAGTGAAAAAAAAAATGGAATACCGAATATCGCTTCGTTTTTTTTCACACTGCAAAAGAATTCCTAAAACATATATACACTTCGGATCGCGCGTCTGTAACTGCAGCTGCAGATTTGCAGATTTATTTAATCGTCAGCATTTAATCGTTTACTTCTGTCATTGATCGATAATCCCTGATTTAGATCTATGTGAAAAGTGTGCAATGTACGTTCAAAATTTTTATAAAATGTAGAAGAACGAGATCTATACTTTTTATATCTATTCGGAGATATTTCGAGTAATCCTGCTACGATAAAAATAAATCTTTCGACAAAACGATGTCTACATACGTGTGTGTGAAGACAATCTGAATAAAAGCGACAATTTTATCATACATTTGAATCTTCATTCGAGGCAATATGACGCAATATCAATGAAACGATCGATGTTCCTTTTGTCAACTGATATTTACGTCTTTATGGCCGTTTTGTTCGTAATATTAGTGTTGTTAACCGTAGAAAATCGAAAGCATAACAGCGAGCAATAAATTTCAGGACCTTTATTCACGGTACTTTGGTAACAGGCTCCGTCACGTGTTACCTGAAGTTGAAAGTCGCACCTCATTCTGCCAGGTAGGCCACTTCGTTTTCTTCTTTTCGCTTGCGAAAGGCGTATAATACCTTGCTATCCAATTAACCGGTGCCAATCGGTAAAGAAAACAAAGTGAAAATCTTTTATTTTCCTTTTTTTTATCCTTTCAACGTGTGATACTTTATACGGATTCAATCTCCAAATACAAAGCGAATCGTATTAACGTTTTATGTGTTTTGCATATGAAAATATTATATTGATACTATTAGCAAAACACATGAAATGTTAGTACGATTTGATTTACCTTTAAAGATTGAATCCGTACAAAGCATCATGTTGAAAAAATAAAAAAAAAGAAACAGAAGATTTTTATTGCTTTTTCCATGTAGCTACAAATTTAGAAATGTTGTACATACATTATAAATATCAACTGATATAATTTTGATTTTATAAATTAAGAGTAGATGTTTACTAACACGTAGATAAAAAAACACATAGATTAGTGATCTTCGTGATTCAAACTTGTTAATCAATTTCCACTGATATAATCGGTGTCACATTTCCATTATTATATCTTTCTATCTACGCAAAATTGCTATGCAGAAATCGGGATCATAAATCATAAATTCTGATTGTGGAGAAGCGTGCTAGTGAACGTTCGACATGTTAAATTGACGATGAACTACGCATTTGATCACACAACTATCCAACGTTTTTCCCCCCTCTTCTATCATTATCGACGGGAGCGGCTTATTTTGCTAAAAGGCGCATTCGTACTCGCTGCAAATGTGTAAAATATGAAATAGTACGGAAGACGAGGTGCTCTCGAATTTCATCCCGGAGGAATCGAGGGCAATTGGAATATCCATCGTTCATTTGCATAATTCGAGATCGGCGACGGATAGGAAGAACGCCCACGTAGCTGCGTCGAATCACGATCGTCTTACGAGTCCTCTCCTTTTTCCTGTCTACCAGGACGTGCTTGATTACCGAACGCCGTTATTACCGGACGATGTACGAGCGGGAGAACGAGGAGCGAGAGGCACAGGGGGTACCGGGATCTCGTTTTGCAAATTCGCGGTTGATTGAAAAGCTTGTGCGGCATAAAAACCGGGAGATAATTGCGGCAGGAAAAATGAGGGAAAAAAGTCCGGGTGATTACTCTCTTACCGTGTAGCATGGTCCAGGTAACATAGGATTCTGTTTGTTAACAGGCTCGATGGTAGCCAGTGGATGCAATGATGGGTAAATTCGTACGATAGGTTCTTACATCTTTTCCTTTTGGTCCACCTCGTCCTCGTGCGGCTATTAACTTAATCTCAGCGATTATACAGTTACATGAGTTACCGTTTAATATTTTATCGTCGATGAAAGCATGTTTGCTCGTCGTTTCGATATCATAACGTCGGTATACGAATTACATGTTACTAAAAATTAAAAAAATATATTACAAGGGTCCACATGAGCGTAATAAGACTAAAACTAAATTGGAATTGCACGGTAATGAAATTCTTTATGATCTTTTATTTTTACATTAAACTAATTACAGAGTGACTAGCTATATAATAAATTGCTATTTTTCTACATTTAATCGAAGCGATAACAGTTATACCTACTTTTAATTAGAGAGATTGCTTTTACATAAAGGTTTTATAATGAAAAGAATTTCCGCCGTTTTTGCAAGATCCTTATTAATACGATAGGAAAAATGAAAATCTCCTGGTTGTACACTCTATGTACACTATTCAGAAAAAAGAAAACACGCGTAAATTATAATTATCCTGATGTCCAAGTAAAGTTTAGATAGCTATCTGTCTATGCTAGTCGGCACGTGAGCACAATGTACAATGGTTTCCAAAGCGCTACAGCTGATATCATAAACAAGACACCGCAGTGCGTGGCACGATGCGCGGTTTAATCTACTGCAAATACAGGGCGCTTCGTTTAAATCAAGGCAATGTCAAGAAGAGAGAACGGACCCCTTTGTCGGTTCTAATCTGTACAAACAGTCATATATCTAGCAGTCGTCGGCCAAACTTTCGGTTTATCCGAATTTAGCCTAGTAGTAGCTTCTGGAAAATATCGCGAGACTCGGGACTCATTTACTTTTTTTATATACAATATTTTTACAAATTCACAATTAATTCGTTTATGTACATTACATTTTATACCGTAAATGTAATTCCATATATTTGCTGTTATTTAACGAAGTACGTTTGTGTGTGGCATATTCATGCGTTATCTTATGATATATAATAATTAGACAATTCATTCAAGAGGTGAGAATTCATTCATCAACGTGATATCGCGACTTACGCGCTAGTAAAGTAATCGAATCAATCCCAATGATACTCCATTTTAATACATCTTCAGATGCAGAAACGTCTTTTCTGAGAATTCCATTCTCTAGAGAGGCAACCATCGTAATAGTGCATCATTAAAGAAACGCGATTATGCGCTTCACAAGGAACAGCTTTTAGTAGAAATGAGGTAGCGCACTTTTGGACCGTGCGGCTTTTGCGTCACAGTCGACGCGACAGGGTGCACGCGCGCATATACTGGGTACATCAGAAGCAGATTCTCATCCATCCAGCGAAAAAAAAATAGAGAGAAAGAGAGAGAGAGAGAGAGAGAGAGAGAGTGAACTCCATGCATTATCACGCAGTTTCCGCTTTACAAGACTTTCTTTGCCCGATCGCGGTGCGGCCTCCAATTAACGCTTTCCGCGGCGCTCAAAAAGATCAGACGGTAGCACTGAAAATGGATTAAAGCGCACACCGTTTGTTACCGCCTTTTACAACGTTTGCAGACACAGGTACATACGTTAGCAGTCGCTGACAATTTCCCCGCGGAGTTGCCGTTCCTCTATTCGGTCCAACTATTTCACAATGCCGCGGGATATCAAAGTGCAAAAATTTACAAACACGACAAAGGAGAAGCAGTATCGAGCCGAAAGGTTTCTCATTTCATATATCTGGTACTTGAACGATATGACACAAGATATTCGATACACTGCAGAATTCGTGGGAGAGACATGTAAGGCTCGGTTATTCGAATATCCTTGGAGCTTCTCGATTGGTATCGTCGGTACGCGGAATAGCGAGCGCTTCGAGAAAGGATGGGATATGTATCGGATTTCGTTTTTCGCCGGCGAATCGATCAGCTTGAACCCATCTGACCTCGCGAGGACGTGAAGGGTTGAAAGTAGGAGAAGCCGCGGTACGAGGAGGGGCGGGGGAGCACGAGTCTGAAAATAAGAAGATATAGATAAAAGAGCTGGGGCTGCACGTTGGCCTAACAAGACTCAGGACTCAGGGGCTATTATCATAATTGTGGGCTGCAGGCAGCGGCTGTGCCCACAAACCAGAATGCCTCTTGTCTCATCTACCTTCGTCCTCGCCTTCTTCTTCTTCTTCTTCTCATTCTCCTTCGTCGTCTTCCCGCTCTTCTTCCTCCGTGTGCATTTCTTCTCTTCGCGGCTTTTTACTTAGCCTTCGTTCTCTCGCGTTTCGCGCGCCTCTTACCAGCCTTTCACATGATCTAAAGACAAATGAAACCAGCCTCTCTCCACATATATTCACCCTCCTTATTCCACATTTCCATCTAAATTAAGAAAGCAATGAGCAATCCGCGCGACGCGATTCGATGTAACGCTGCAATGCAGCACGAAGACACTTTCCGCCATACGAAACAAGTTGCTCGAAGCGATTTATTTTAATTAGTGAATAACGCACGTCTTTACAAAAAGTATTATAATATAGGTAATGTTTTTCTAGACACGATTCTTAGATTAAGTTTTTAACAGCGATATAATAAAACGATGCGTAGTGCTAATAAGAAATATGAACTACTATTTAGAAAACTACTAATTATATGGGATGCATTATTTAGGTTGAAATTACAGACGGTAGGATGCCTTCCGAACGTTCGTTATTAAATTCAACTATGTATGATGTGGGTCCTTCGGCGTGGACCACCCTGAGGTGAAACGCAAACAACCCGTTTATCCCGCTCTTCAAAAAGAAACCAAGTGGAACGCTCGGTGCACTCTTTTTTATCTCGATATTAGTCTTGACACAGAATACGAGATATTTTTAAACAAAGTTTAAAACATTCTTTCTGTCGCTATACTTATTATATCAGCATACATGACACGATGCGACATATGTACATGTAATAATGCTTGTTGCTACGCATGCGTATCGAAATATTCTTCAATTGTATGACTACGTATAACACAGAGTTTTATGAGATGTCGTTTAGCTCCTTATTGCAATGAAGCCCAATTATCTTCTGCGCGGTTCAATTATTAAAGTGTATCCTCTCTTATATCTAATTTCTGTTACATAAATTCGTAATTTTAACAAGATTATTTATCCAACTGTTAAATTGAAATACAAAAGACTCGTTATTAACGAAATTGGATTTTACTTGAGATTTTAAATGGATGTTCTACTTTAAATATCTGATCTTTTCTTAATAGGGAATCATTAAATATGAACAAGTCTATAAATTTTAATTCCAATTAAGAATATTGTTCCTTGCATGTATAAACAATTTTTTTAAACAATTACATGATACGTTATGTAATACTTCATTCTTCGCTTTCTAAATATAAAATCAATGTTTGACCAAGTGTCTTAATTAAGTATCACAAAGTATATTATGCAATATCCCTGAATAATTCAGAAAGGTTTATTTGCTTTAACTATAAGTACAATTGTACTACGGCAAGGTATTTGTGCTCGAATTTTCGCCTCGGGAATTCTCGACTCCTTTTAAAACCGGAGACACGCGGAGTCAAAAGCAACCGGCAGGTGTGCGATAGAATATCTGTTTTCCTTTAAATTATGCGAAATAAGCAAATATACTTCATCCTCAAATTGTTGCACGGTGTGTCGAAAGCGCATTTTTTTCCCATTTGTTTCCCGTGCACTCTTTCAGCGAGAGATGCCAGGGGCGTGTATGTTTGTTTAGCCTCGGTATACCCTGTTATTAGGGACCGCTGCCCGTGCCCCTCGAAAACCGTAGGGCCCACGCGGAGATTTGGCCGCCGTGAGCTCGATCGTACATCCCCCTTTCCGCCCTCCGTCTCATCGTTCCCCTGCTTGCTTCATTTCGTGCGTAAAAGAAGTTCTCGAGAAAAGAACGACGAGATAAATTCGGAAGGGGGTCCCGCTGGCTCCTAGCAGATCCTTTCCCCTTAGATCTTGATTTAGATTCTACCACGTTTTAATTTATTACAAGCGATGGCGACGATTATACGGAAACGAGTCTTCGGCTCGGAAGAATACGCCAATTTTTAGCCCATGCGAATAAAAAGAGAGAAAAACGAACTGAGGGAACATAAAGAGGAGCTCGTGTAGCGCGGAGTATTAAAGAGGAAATTCAGAAATTTAAGCGTGTTCAGGTACTCACTAAAAGAGTAAAGATTTCTTCGAATTATTTCTATTCCTCTCCCCATCTCATGTATGCAAACAGGTTTTCTGTTTCGTGGAATAAGTAAATAATTTCAAACTTATTATATAATTTATCATACGTAATACTTTCTGATTACTTAATTTTATTTTTTCACATATTCTGCAATATTTTGAAAAACTTAATGGACTTCTTAAATTTTAATATGTATGTATTATGCACGTATTATGCATGCAGTTTCAACCAGATTAAATATTTCCTTATTTTTGAAAACTTATTGTATATCCCGATGTACATATATCTGTGTGTATATAGGTACATTTATTATACACACGCAATGTCAACGTCGTTTGTGCTGAAATTTATATGATCTGCACACTCTCGTTGGAAGCAAGAAAGAAATCCATACACTTTTTTTGTGGTGTGATTCGTGGGATCACGCGACTCCTCTTTCTCTCGATGCACAATGCATCCCTGATGACATATCCTGCAGGTCCGCAATTGAATAGTGTTCTGTTTGCGTGGATGGCACGTGACAATGCCCGAAGACCCGTCTCGCACGCGACCACACCCCGTCGCTGTTATTTGTTCAATTTAAGGGTATTGTTGCGTGCGGTGTTTTCGTCAGTCGCCGCTCGATTTATTTCGGCTACGATCATTTCCTGCATTTTTAACGTGGGAGACACCGCCGGATGGCTAGGCGGATACCCGAGCCAATCGGGTGTCGCTTTATTTCGATTATTCGCAATCGCAAACAGTGCGTGTTTGTGCGACTCGACGACGCAATGTCCGTCGCGATCGATTATACGCGCGCAGAACTTTTGCCGTCCCATTAATGAAACTTTTTACGCAGTCATTTATTAGCGCGTCCCTTCCCGACGATAAATAAACGCTGTACCCGCCATCGTGGCATGTATTATGCATGCGATATTACAAAGCTGATGCTCGCTCACGCGTAAATTATCGTTATGCGGATAACTTAATGACCGACTAAATATTTCTTGCGTCGTTTTTACATAATTGAATTTTCATAACTGGTTCGCGAGATCTTTTTTTACCGGCTGATACATCGATCGTGGTAAGCGTGCTTTCGACTCCTCCGACGTGCATCGCGCGATCTTACAACGAAGATTGGCACTCGCTGAGAACTAACACTCGCTGGAATCTTACTGGCGAAAGGCCCTTGAAAGCCATGGATAAGGTTCTGTAAGCAGCAAATGGGGCCCGATGGGCCCAGCGATAATTGAGGAATGCTACATGACCAATTGTCGATAAATATTTATGTTTTAGTCTCGGTTAATTGAGGTAATACTTTTTGTAATAAATTTATTTACACATTTCTATTATATTATATTAAGATCTCTCTAATGGATGTCTATTGAGCATCAAAAATTTAATTGTGATATTAATTCAATAGTTTAACTGCATTTTTAAGTCCGAAAAAATTTCGGCACATAGTGCGAATATGACTACAAATATGGTATACGTACATGCATGTATATAGTATATATTAATCACGTTAAATCAGTTAAGCATTAAAAGATCCAGCTTCGATCTTTGGCTAGGATTTCCTACTTCTTGTTTTTATTGAATTTTAAATATACGGTCCAATAAAATTCTTATTAATTCTTATTAAATGTTAGAACATCACATGTAATTTTTAGATCTGTTCAAAGATTTCTGAACTAGTTCTAAACTAATGCTATATAAGTTAGAGTCCCTGGTGAAACAAATTTGTCAAAGTTTGTACGAAAAATATAAAAAATAAAAAATTCTGACAAATTTAGACACTATTGTTGAAATTTGATGGAAAGTATTTCATTTTGTTTGTAACTGTCCGAATTCGGATACATTTTGACTACATTTCGGACAAATTTTTTCACCAGGGATAAAATAAGCTCTATTTGCTTCACTCCAACTTATTGAATCAGTTGTGCACCAGTTCAGAACTTAAGATGAAAAAAGAACAAAATAACGCAATAAAGTAATAACAGTATGAAGAAAAAAATTAATTCCATCTTTCAAAATTTCCCATTTCTACGTACATTCTTTAAATGCGTTGAAAATAGATACAACAATGATTTATTATAAAATTATAAAATATAATACGAACACAGATAATTAACGAGATGTAACTGCTAGACTTGAGAAATAATAACAACTTATACACAAATTATAATTTCCAAAAATAACATAAATTATCGCTATGTCGGTCTTACAATTAGTCATAATGTTTCAAACAAATAAATAAATATACATAACAAATTAATTAGATTAACATGAAGAATGTATAAAAAAAATACGTACAAAAAATATATATAGCTGTAAACATTGATATACAGATGTAGATGATCTTAACATTTTGACCGCAAGATTTTTAAAATAAAATATTCATTAAAAAAGATATTTTTGGTTCCTTACACTGCGATAAAGTAATCTTAGATCCAAATCTCTATAAGATTAATATTCTATAGAATGTTTTTCAAATTTATACTAATATTATATTTTTTTATCTTGGCAGTATCATATTCTTTTATTTTATAAGTATTATTTCTTTTATTTCTAATTGGTTTACTAACAGATGGCACGTACAAACTGAACACTTGTACATATCTGGCGATCAAAATGTTAAATGTATCAATATAATTATATAATTATCGTTACATATTTGTAAAAACGATAATATATTCAGAATATTTCAAATTAAATTTGTGATTATTCAAAGTAAATAAGATTTAAATTATGTTCCATTGTTACGAAACAATATGTTTAATTTTCCATATTGCATTAAAAATCACAGTCACAAGAAACAAATATAGAAAGACATAAATAAAAAAATACAAATTTTAAAACTTTGCAACTACGCAGTATTTTAACTTCGAATACAAAATAAATATTTATAACAATTCTTATTCTTAATTTAAATACAGGCGCAATACACAATCATAATACTTGCATAACAGTGAGCAAATTCAATATTTGCTGGCAATAATTCGCAATTTAAAAGGAGTCATGTATAAAACTATATCGCAAAAAATACATTTTTTTTCGAGCATATTTCTGTAGAAATTCATGTAGAGAATGTTTTTAATTCGTGGCCGGACAATTTTTTTGATCTGTACGAATAAAGTATGCTCTGCTGATGTTGTTCTTATCGATAACTTGATAAGCCTTTTCTACAACTGCAACTGACGGTTTTGGTTCTCGTGTCAAAATCCAAACGTTTCGTACACTGCCAAAATATTGTAATTTTAGTAATCTAATAAACCTGTTCAGTGTAATTTAATATTTCTAGGATAGATTTTCTAGAGATAGAAAAAATTATGTCTTTAAAACATGAATGTATAATCCATTAAAAAATTAAAATTCTTTTCTACTTACATATTTAGTAGCATAAAATGTAAAATATTGATATTTAACGATAAAAGCATAGGAAAAGTTTATTGTAATCAATTTTGTATCAGGCAAAAATGTATTAATGCTTATACTTATTACATATTTTTCCTTGTTTTTTCACATGCAAACTTACTTAAACACTCCGAGATTTGTACAGCTCCATACTACGGCATATGATTTGTAGTCCGTATCTAGAACCCAATAAGGTGCATCGAACGGCAGTGGCAAGGATGGAAAAGTGACGGTCAATTTAGGATCATCGGATCTACCAATTAACCTTGCAATGCCCTCGATACTCGTTGCAACTCCAGTTCTATGCAAGAGAATAGAGCTTTACTTCAAGTGGATAATTGTCAGTTGACGATATCATTCTATCCCGTATCATTATCTTTCTTGCTTTTAATGACTTAAAATTACTTTATGAGTCAGGTAGCGTGATGAGTACTTACAACGAAGAAATTTGTTTATTGAGGATTTGTACCGAAGCATTTTCATTCAGAGTGTAATTAGCTGTCACACATTTTCCACCAAACTCAAACCACGCAAAGTATCTCTCAACTTCGTACCATTTGCCCAAATACTAGAAAAAAAATCTATATTTACTCTCTAAAACTTTTATAATAAATCCGTTTTAAAGAGTGAAATATTACTCTTAAAAATTGAGTTTAGAATACTTTTAATTTAAAAATGCACAAAAAGTATTGTTTTATGTACTTTAATATTACTTTATTTTAATATTAAGTATAGTTTTTAAATAGGTATAAATCAAGATAACGATTATTCTATACTCACTCTTTCAAGCTCGAAATTTTGCATAGCTTCCAAGTTTGGACACGTACCCAAAAATGGCACCTGTGCCATCGCTGCATTCGCAATGATAACTATTACAAATATCCGTAACATATTTTTTTTCTGAAAAAAATGCATAAAATATTTACTTCATTTTTAAAAACGGAATAACTCCGGTGTATACGCTGCACCTAACAAAAGTTTAATTTATTTAGTATTATTTAATGTTTAAGGTACATAAACTATACTAGTAAAAACTTTATACTCTCTATTACTAAAAAAAAAAAGATATTTAGGGAATGTGTGTATGACTCACGAAAAATTTGTAAATATTTCTTACACACTTATGAATCACCAAATAATCATTAAGCCTTTTACAATCTCAATAATAATCATTTTATGTATAAATTATAATATATAATTCCGCTAGTCAGTACATTGACAAATCGATTCAACTGACAGTAATTTTATTAATATTAATTGTTGAAAACTGAAATCCAAATACAATATGATGACTTAAAGGCGCATAATAGAATGGTTGTGTGCACATTATTTCCACTACTATTTTTTCTGACTTCTATGACGTAAATCCTCGCGCGGCGTAAATACCGGAGTTAAAGCCGATGTATAGATATACGTAAAATATGTTAAATTTTTTAAGAGTTTTAATGTATAACAGTAAGTTTTTGTTGGATTCTTATTGAAATAAAATTCAATATAATGATAATAATGATATGATCAAATCAAATACCTGTAAAATCTTTTACTTATTACGTGCACGCACACATGCACATACAGAATAAATTATAATTTAGAATAAAAGTATCAAGATAAAAAGACCAAACAGAGATAACGTTAATCTTATTTTAAACAAAATTTTTTACTTTATGTTGAAGTATTAAAGATACTTTCTATATACATACCGGATCAAAATTCTTCCGTTATAATAATCACGTGACGATAACACGAGATGTATTATCGTTATAATATACCATTTAAAGAGCTTCTTTTACGAACCAATTATTTACATCGACTTTGATGCTTTGAAAGATATTTTTTTGTGCTCCTTTTGTGTTTTTTCAAAGTCCACAGTTACTAACTTCGTAACGCTCAAGAAAATGAAGAGAAACGAACGTGCGCTCTTTTATATTGCATTATCGCGGACATTAGTTTCTAAATTGATGATATCACAATGCAACACTGTTCTGCTTGACATACTTTATAACATTTATAAACGTATTTTACTTACTGAACTAGTTTTTATCACTCAAGTTACGTAACCTGTGTTGATTTCGCTTTTTATACACTTACAAGGTTTAAGAATGAAGTAATAAATCACTTCGAGTAGCATCTTTCCTTTTTTTATTGTACTAGCAATTCATATTGATATAAACATTTCTTGGTATGATAATATTAGATCGCAATAAATACAGGTCAAACTGTTATGCGAAAATTTTACACTATGTTATTTAAGCTCGAGCGACCTTTGATTTCTAATTTTCGATCTCTTTATTTTACCTGACAAGAAGTTATTTACACAAGTAGTTCAGTGAATAATTTATTGTTAGAACATTCGATAAAAATAGAAAAGAGCAAAAAGAAACAATCTGAATGCGATATCGACAATCTCATAGCACTCTAAATACAGCACTCACCTGATAGCCTTGATCGTCGGATATATATTCAAAGAATACGCGTTGAATGTTAATTTTTGTGAGGATTAGCGCCAAGGTTTACTTCTCACACGACGGATCGTTCGTAGATGACTGAACTTCCTGCTCCGCGTTTCGCTTCGTCGGAGACGGACCCGCGAAGGTTGACTGGATATGTTTGGCAGAGTACTGACAGTTAGTGGGTCAGTAACGGTACGCCCGGGGTTCAAGAAACCCGGCTCGAATTTGCCATTGACCAATAGATGATCGACAGATTCGAAGATACGTGGACCATTTCATGATCAGATGTGATGGACCACTTTTGAAAATTATTCGTTTGTGTTCGCATGGATTTTGCAGTGACTGATAAAACAGATACAAAATAAAAATATGTTAATCGATTGTAGACTGACTTGAAAAGGATACGTTTGTGATAAATCAACTACTTCATGTAGCAATTATATATTTTCATTTTAAGCATTTATACATTACAAACAATTAAAAAAGAGTATTTATTTATTCTATTAATAATAATTAATTCTATAAAGTTATTAATCAATGTACGTTTGTGAAAAAGAGGTAAATTTAAAAAAGAATATTTTTGCATTATATTTATAAAATATTCAAATTTTCTTTCGAATATTTATTTTATATAATATATCTATACAAGAAAATTAAACTTCTTATTTCTACTTCATCTGCATTCAGAGTTGAAACCTTTACTTAATTATTGATATTTAATGTCACATTGATGTTAGTATATATTGAATGATAGTTCTAAATTGATATCATTATTATCAAAAATTGAACTATTAATGATGATTTAAAAAATATATCCGTTATGTGACCTGCTTATGTTGCATATTTATGTTCACATAGAAAATACTATGACACATTTAGCTTTTACTGGCATCATATCGTGATGCGAAAGCTAAAAAGACTTTCCAAGAGTTCAAGAACTGCATTTTCTCTCTTATTGTATGACTACTCACGGCATATAAATTATAGTAGTAAATTATTGTACATAAAAAAAGTGAAAAAATGACGTTTTTTAAATAAAGTTGTATGTCTCATTGATCAAATATCATTATTCGCATTAATCAGATATAATTCTGTACATTAATTTATAATTAAATTACGCTGTAGTATTCAGTAAATAATTTTACATGCATATCATTACATCTGTGCAGTGAAATGGAAATATAATAAACAAACGAGTACGTTTTATTAAGACATTTTTTTATAACAATTTTATTTATCTTTGTTTCTTTTCTTTTTTTTTTTTTTTTACATTTGTACGTAAGCCTATAAAACAAAGCGCCGTGCCAACCCTATGTCCTCAAGCGACAACGCAGAACGACGGCGTGTCAATGGAACAATGATTAATGATTTTGCGGTACTTAAGCGAGACTGGTTCTCAATGAGGAAACCGCTACAAGCCTAAGACGTCGAAAATCCCCAGGAATGCGTCCCTGCTAGCGCCAACTAACAGACTTTTTTTTGCTAAATAGTACTTCTAGGCAGTTGCTTCTATTTCTTTCGCATGTTCGCTTTTCTCCTCCTTCGTAGTTTCCGCAACGTTCTCCTCCTTGACCTCGACAATGATCATTTTATTCCTCGTGTCGCCACTCTCCTCTTTTATCGTCTCTGCTAACTTCAAGATCCGTTCGGGAACAGTTTCGATGGGCTGCTCGAGCTTTGCGGGTTCCTCCGCTATTATCTTCGGAATATCAGAGAGCGCTTTCTCGCCCGTAATCCCGGCTGTAGCTTCCTCCTTCTCCTTTATCTCGATATCGGCATCATTCAGAGCGATGGTCGATCTGGAACTCTCATTCGGTTCAGTTGGTTGCGGTTTCTGTTTTCGTTTCTCTGACTTCGCCGGCTTCTCAGGCTCCTCAGACTCCTCCGTTGTCGAATCCAAATAGGCACATTCCGCTTGATCGGTTTTCACGAAGAACGTTTTCGATATCTTATATTTATCAAGAACGCCATAAGCCTGTAACCGAAGAAAGATTTTTTAATTTTATAGTAATGATTCTAGAGTGTATGCGTATGTTATATTAACTGTCACTGTATTAATAATTTTAAAACGTAAAACTTATTAATTTATTTTATATTAATGATTTGTATTGTCTACATCCCCGACTGTAAATTCTAAATATATTAAAACTTAATAATAAATTATTGAGTTTTAATATAAACTCAATAATTCAATTATAATTCATTTAAACTTAATAATTCCATATTTTGATTTAAATTCTATTAAAATTTAATTTTTTTATTACTTATTGCGAAATTTATTGCAAAAGATATTACCTTCGTTTATATTTTAAAATACAAACAAAGGTGATGCTTTTCGCAATAAGTTATTCGCAGTTTTTAAATTTTATCAACATATGACGATTAGTATTCTTGTTAAAAGATACTTATTAATGTAAAAAAAAATTTAACTAAATTGCTTGTAAAATTTAATCAGTGATATTACTATTCTGATTATTCTACTCATGAATGCGTTTTAAGTCCGGAAAAACATTTCGGCGTGCAATATGCAGAATTATATATTATATATATATATAAATTTATATAAAAAATTTATATTTAAGTACCAAGATCCACTTCGACCAAATGTAGGGTTCTTCTTATTTAAAATTGGATTTTTTTTTATCTATTAAGTTTTTACCTTTTGAAGCACTTTTCCGGATGGTACTCGTTCTCTCGTCATGACCCATGCATTTTGTGCGTGGACCGGGCCAATACCTTGACAGCTCCATAAAACGGCGTACGAATCATAATCCGTTTCGAGTACAGAGTACTTAGTCTCGGGAGTCAGTGGTACTGTGGTATACCTGACGTGAAGTTTACCCTCCTCGGCCTTGGAAGCTGCGGGCTTAATTTCACCCTCCAATATCCTCTTCACACCAGTGCTAAATGTCAGAGATATTATATTGTTAAGTGCCCATTTTTTAATAAAATTTCCATACATTTTACAAATTTATCAAGCGAATTAGATGAAATATATATACTTACAAACGATTCGTTACTTCATTGCTCACACGGTATTTACCATCGGTACCTCTGGTATAATTCGACATAACGCATCGAGATACTACCTCGCTAAGTTGGAAATATCTTTCTGCTTCATACCAAATACCCATGAACTGTAAACCAATCAAGTATTTATTACACAAATATTCTGCAATGCCAGAGAAAATTTAATTTCTCTGATATTCGTTCGATAATGAAACATCGCTGTAATTATAGAGTATATTCTATAAATACGAACGAAATTAAATGTTTCACAAACAAAATAAAATAACGAAATAATAAAAGAAAATAAAATAAATCAAATGTGAGTGTATGATAATACACTCACAAATTGGCTAACGAAATATGGAGGTCACTCACCCTTTGCCTGTTAAAATTCGCCATGGGTATATATTCCGGACAGAAGCCCAGATTAGGAATCTGGGCACTGGCCCAGGCCAGAGCCGAAAGTGCTAGGATAATCTTCCCGAACATGTCTGATGACGATCTGCCTCGAACACCCGTCAAGGCTCGAACCTTTATATACATTAAGCAGGAGCATTGACCGAGAGGTCTTACCCCCTCTGTATTACCCACGTATTAGTACTCTTACGGTACTCTTCGTGGCCCGAGACGCTGGCCGAGAAGACGTTGGTCATTGGTCAATGATGCGCCTACGAATCTCTTGGCAAGTCCATCGACGACGCGACCAAGAACCAGAAATGCAAGATCCATTATGCAACTTCAGAATAAACGGTACTTCGCAATCGGAGACGCCAGCCCCTACGGAAACAGCTCTAGAGAGGTCTATCAACCGCATGGAATGCCAATGATTTCTCAGATTAAATGCAAAGATAACGGATTAGAAGAATTTTGTTTCGCGTAATCTCCAATTTAGATCTATACACTCATTAATTCAAAATTTTTAGAGAAGAGGTAGTGAATGTCAACCTCTTTTAAGATTTTGGTGATTACACTACATACACACACTGCCTTTCTAGACAATCTTTCGATTAATCTTTTTATGCTATCTAATATTCAAATATATACACATATAAATATATCACGTATATTAAAATATCTCATTAATTATATATACATCGTGAATTTACACACAAAACGCGTATTCATTTTTAACCGCAGCTGTCGGTTTCATGGTTGAAAAAACTCGGTCGACACGCAATAATTAATTTATTATTCTATTCACATATTGAGCTCATCAATTGTTTTTTTTTGTAACAAAGGTATATATATTATTTTTCTTTTAATATATAACATATTACGTGTGAAATTTTAATTAAATTGTAATATACAATTTTTTGAGAATAGTGAGTTGAGTTTTTAAAGCAAAGCTTACACGCGTGTCGGAATTATTTAAAAAAACTTCTGAGAATCTCTCTCTTTCTCTTCCTTTCCCTCTTTCTATCTATTTGTCTCAACGCTCCAAAAACATTTGATTGCCTCTATTTATTATGCATACTATAACTAATTAATTGCTTATCTCATGCATGAATTATAGTCAAGACACGTCTCGTTCGATTATGAAAGGCAAATATGTCCGTCCACTTCCTCTAGTCATTTACAAAGCCGGTTCCAGCAACCTGGTCTTCGCACAAACGGTTATTTACGTTCGCGAGGCAGGTGCGATCGAGCAAACCGATTCTTCTCGGGAACACAAAACGAGGAATGGACATTTACTTGCGTCGTAATTATGCAATCGACACCGTCGAGATTGGATGTACACGGCGTACAGCGTCTTGCTGGAACGTAGCCCACTAGTAACGGGTCTTGCTGTGGTTTTCTTTTTGTACAAAACCGAGAAGTCCTCGGACCGTTAGCTGGCGATATCTTTTACGCCTCTGTTGAGGAATTCTTTGAAGATTCTGCGAACGGCAAACCGCTACGCGTATCACGAAAACAATAATTAACCCTATAATTTCGATATGTTCTTTTATATTCTCGTTCGCTAAAGGATAAAGGATCGTTAACACAGTCAAAAGGTAACGTAACAGTATATACGAGTACATTGCTCTCAAGAAAGCATAACTTTCTTTTCGTCTTCTTTCATATTATAAAATATAACAATTATTAAGAGCTTTCAAAAGCGGCAATTTGTAAAATAATTCAAGATGGTTCGTTCAACTAATTTATTAAAATCGTTAGATTTTCTTAATAATGTTTAAATTCAAATGCAATTCTCCTACAAATTTCTTTATATACACGACTCACAATCGCGAAATTAAATAATATATTTTTCAATAAATCACACAACAGGTCTGAAGGAATGGAAGAGGGAAGTATCGCGGAAACATATATTAGTTCGATTATGCTCGCTTCTTTTTGTCTTGTCGTACACCAGGTGGGTTTCTTCAGAATTTTAATTTATTTTTCATAAACCTATGAACACTAAGAAAGCGCACGGAGCTCGTGCTCCGCTTGGAAAATGCTTAAAATCTACAATATTTCACCCGGATGTCCGAATGAGGAAAAAAATTTACAGAACGGTAGAGAATTAACATTTTTCACAAGATTATGCCAATTATTATCTTTACATCCCTTAAATTTTCTCTTTATTGAACGATGCGTAATTCAATTTATTGTTTCACTGCTGTGTTAATAATAACAAAAGGACTTGCATTGTTCCGAAGAATTCTGCAATGTTGAATAATTATATCTGAAAGGTATCGTTTTCTTCCGCATTCTCGGTCAACTCGATCGAAAGCGAAATTCGAGATCTATGCTTTTCTTTTCCCCTCAACGGTGCGATCACGGTCTCGAGAGGGACATCCGGGTGCGCGTGCGCGCTAATCATAATTAATTAACAATAAAATAATCTGTAATGCATAATCCTAGTGCGTTTACGGCTCGAGAAGAGGGGACGACTGATGTCGGGAGTGCGTGATAAGGGTGGGCGAAAGGGTAAAGGGGGGAGAATGATGATAAAAAGCTGATTGCTTAAATTATTATAGGCGACTCGCAAGATTTTTCTTCGTCGGTATCCTCCTGATGACCCTTCGCGATCGCAAGATTCTCCTCTTGCTCACGCGAAGAGCCACGAGTCGCGCTCGTGCCATGAACGCCGCGGCGTCGCACGCTAAACAATAATTACTTTAGCTTTATTATCATTTAGTATCACATTACGTTCACTGTTTTGTGCTGGCCGTTTTTGCCTGGCTTCGCGAGAGCGCACACCACCCCTCCAACCTCTCTTTCCGCTCCGTTTCTTGTACGCCTCCCCGTTACGACATTCTCGTAAATGGACGTCGTAATGAAGGGAAGTGAAGGAGAAGAAAAGGTGCACCGATCGATTTGTCTCCAACCCTCGAGCAGTCGCGATTACGAGGTCGAGCAGAAACACAAGGATGTAATGAAGATAGAACACTAATCGACTGTGTTTCCGTTTTTTTCCCGCGCGATGCTTTATTTGACTGATACAGGACACTCTTTGAGAAAAGCAGACCATAAAGAAATTTTTTTCAATATAAACTTTTATATAAATTTACATTTTATATATCTTCTCTTTTATTATATACAACTCTTTTACTATCACGAGAAAATGATAATTTACTGCAATTATAATGTATAATACAAACTTCCACATACTCCATTGTAATCGACAACATATATATATATATATATATATATAATCAAGTATATATTAAAATTGTAAAATATCCTTCAAGTACAATGCCGTTTAGTACTTACGCGCTGCTCGAAATGACATACGTTGATTTAACAACTAAATATTATATTTCATTTATATTTATCTAATATTATTTTACAACTTTTGTTAGAACGTCTTTGGTATGTGAGCGAATCTACAAAATCGAAGCTACATTCATTTAGAGCGTCTATATCGTATTCTAATTTTTAGTAATTTCTCTGTACAATATTCATATATTCAATTTATCCTTGTATAATTACGACTCGATCAATTGAACATCATTGCATTATAATAGATTCCTTTACTTCGTTTTTATGGAATGTATATTCTTTAAACAGAATAAACTTCCAAACGCGTTAAACAATCGACCGATTTGAAAGTGTCTTATTTCTTCTCCTTGCTTAATCACTTCCGAACATCTTCAAGATGGTTTTATGCAATCAAGGAGCAAAAAAGAGGTCGAGGCCCTTCTTCAAGGCACCTTAGGTAATAATAATAATGCCTACCTAGAGAAGAAAAAAATGACGTCCTGCGCCAAACAAAGATAAAATTAGACGAAAGAAAGCTACTAATTACAACGATCTAACTAGCCTTACGAAAGTTGAATTAATTCGAATGAATCTTAAAATCTTCTACGTAAATTCATTAACGTTCCTCCATTTTCTAAACAAACTCGTATCGTCACTTAAACGCCTATGTCTCTTAAGCCTATGAACACATGAAATCACTGCCCAATCGACCAATTTGGACCCATTTGACAAGGCACTCGAGTCGCTAAGTTTTACTGAAGGGTGTACCATGAATGGGATGTCAGGACGGGAATGAGGAAGATGAGAGATAGGCGACAATGTGGAAGACGGGTTTCAGAAGACAGAACATTAACAACGTCGATGTTTACTAAACAATAAATTGCATCAACAATTTATAAACATCACAGCTGCATTTTCCGCAATCGATTGCGCCGATAATGTTCTCTTCCGTCTTGCTTAACATTCTGATATTCCATTCTTTTCCGTTTCAACATCCCGATCGAATACTTTCGTGTTCGCGATCGAAACCGTACAGTTTTAACTACTAATAGCTAGCTCGTGGCGATTGGCGGGCAGGACACCTAAGATCTACCTAAGACAGAAATCGGTGGAAAGTCGGTTGGTCCCTTTGCAATAATGTGAAATAAATAAATTCTAGTCCGTCCTCTCGTTCCTATTTAATATTATTTACATTGTAAAATTACTCGCACGCGCTGAGGTAAATGGGACATTGCCGGATTTGCCACGTGCGGCGATTAAAATAAAATAACAACAAACAAGACGCGACAAAGAGACTGCTATAATCATGTCAAGATTTGGCGCGTGACAATAATTGACTCTCTGTTCGTTCATATTATCATCCTTGTACTTTTCGCAGATCGCATTCTCTGCGATCACTCCCAACTCGACGACGTATTCGAATCACTATCGAGTCAACTATTAACAAAGACATTTTATCAAAGTTATTACTTAATCGTAACGATAAAATCATGATGCGAGAATAAGGTATGCTGTTACACTTGGTATTCTTACATCATAGATATTTTCTGTAAGATCGTCAATTAAGCGACTTCAATATGGAGAAAGTTTCGCATTGTATATCATATAAAAGCGACTCTTTATTTTTATTATTCTTAGAAAAGACCCTTTCTCGGCGCTGCATGCCGTTTATGTCTTTATATTTTTATTTACGCGACGATTTTTATTTTGTATTGTACATATAATTCTAAGTTTTTTGTTCATATTTAATTATTTTGTTTATGAAAAAAACTTATTTTACAAAGTCATAAAATAATTTTTTTAACAAGAAAATAATATAAACAAAGTTACAGTAACTAATTACAGTAATTAATAAAGAAAAATATGAAGACAAACAGCAATGTTTGAAAAGAATTTTTGTTCAGACCATATATAAATTTGTTTCTAATATAATTTATCTATGCTTTACTTTTAATTATATTTTGTTTGTAGTAAAGATATCATATATCCCACTATATTACAGATCAAAATCTCTCATGCAAAAATTTTTATAATTTACAATAATTAAAAATTGTTGCAAATAGTGGAATAAGTTGACCAACTACAAAACTACATTATCCAATATCTAAAATCATTACGCAAAAGATCTTCGCCTCTTTTAATGATACGACAAAAAACCTAAGAAATTATTTGTCTATGAAAAAAACAAATAATTAATAACTTATTTTACGAAAATCATGTTTTTCAAAATATAAAGATAATTTGTGAAAAAAACAGTTATTATTATAGACTTTTTTGTGTATCACACAAGTAACGAAGACAACGATATATAATTTTAAATATCTCATTCTCCATAAACTAATTTTTTAAACAGTCTGAACAGAAATTGTGTGACTCGATTGCATCCTCCGCGCGAAATCCTGAGAGCGTTAGACAAGTTGCTCATCATTATGCGTTCGAGGAACACTCTTCAGCACCGGACGGTCTTTGACTTTGTCGCTATTCACGAAATTCATGTAGATTCCTGCTGAGCAGCAGATTGTTATGTGGTCCCGAGAGATGCCTAATGAGGTCCTGCAAATTAACAAAGTTCGACGACGAGCAAAAGCAACACGAGAACGTATTATCGGGAGCGGCTATCACACCTCGGTGCACCGAGCAAAGATGTTTCAGCAAGTGGGCTTTCTGTTTGAACATGGCAACGCAAAGTCTACACGCGAAAGGCTTCTCGCCTGTGTGCACTCTTAAATGGGTCTTCAAGTTCCACGACATGCCGAATTGCTTGCCACAGTAGCTACATCGATATTCTCGAACAGGGGTAGACTTCGGCGGGTCGTCCGTTGACGGTGGTGGCGGTGGAGCTCTGGCGGGTGGCAGAGTCCAAGCCGTCCAAGGTGGGTCTAAAGCTGCTGCTGACGTCGGATCGGCACTCGGCGGTCGATGCGATGGCGGCGTCACTGATCTATCTTGCTGCACATCAATAACGCTTCGTAAAAAAAACGTAGAAACGCTCAAATGAAATTGCAATGTATATCTACTTCAGTATTGAAAACGTTCGAAAAAACAATCATAATAATCTAAGTTGTTAGAGAATCTTATAAATCACGCATGTTTATCGATATTACTTTATTAATGTTCATCGTAATATATCGCAAGTCACTATTAAAAACCAACCAGGTACGGTGGTGCCGAAACACTCAGGGGATGTGGCGCCTGCAACCTTCTGGGCGTTTCGAATCCAGGATTGAAAGGCACGAAAGCCGGATTTTGTGAGGGAGCATTATGGAAGCCTGGTCTTCGCTTTCGATGAGGCGTCACAACATATGCTTCCGCAGGTGGGATTGGTAATTCCTCGAGTTTTCTCTTCCCAGATTCTAAGCCTAACGCCAATCGTGCTGCCAACTGCCTCTTCCGTTCTTCTGCTTCCTCAAGAGATTCTCGCCTTTCGAATATCGGCTTTTCAGACCTGCGGCAGTCAAACCAAACCATCTTGATGATTTATTCTATTGTTCCAAATTTTATTTAGTTCTATTAGCTACAGCTTATAAATAAGAAATAACTAAATAGTGTTAAATGCTATTATCGTAATGATTATGATGTCAACGTTCTCTAACCTATGTATTATATCATGCGAGCCATCACTTGTGACAGAAGTGCCGGAATTGAGACTCAGATTAACAGGATCAGAACTATCCCTTCTTCTAGGAGGTTCTATGCTACTTTCTCTGTTATCCGAAAGAAGACTTTCGCCTTCCACACCTTCCACATCCACTTCCGGCTCCTCTTCGCAGCCTTCCGTTTTTATGAGGACTGAGCAACAGTCCGCAGGATTATTGGACTGTCTGAAAGATGTAAGATTTTTAAAACATTTTGTCTAATATTTTTTACTCAGTAAACTACAAGATTTATGTGCCTACCTGCCATCGTATTGGGATTCGTAACTGGAACTCTCTTGGCCTTCTGAGGGCTGTGGAGTTGATATTCTTTCGGGATCAGAGTTACTAGTTTGAGGCTGATTGGGCTCAAATAGCTCCGACTTAATCTGAAGAAGCTCAAAGAGCTCCCTTAATGGCGTAAGCTCTGTCGCCTGAACAAAATAAAATTTTACTAATTAATAAAATTCGGTTTAGCACTTTTCAAACACTCAAAAAAAATTCTACATACAAATATTATTATGCTAATGAGTTTTTTTCTTTCGAAATATTCTATTTGTATGCTAAAACTATGTCATAATTTAAAATTCATACCGGTATCAGCGCTTCTCCGTTATATAAAAACTCCAACAAATGATTTAATTGTGTCTTTCGGACGCCTGATAAGTGAACCACGTGATCCAGGGCAGGATTCCGAAGTAGACTAGCCAAGAGGGGACTTGCGGCTGCCAAAACGACGCGATGGGCTTTCACAACAGACCCATCATCGCATGCCAGAGTTACATCCACGTGACGGTCCCCGCTGTACCAGGCCCCGACCTCTGCGGCCAAGGTCGCTGGATGTTTCCCATAATGGAGCGTTAGGAGACCGTCAGAATACATCGTCTGTGAAACAAGAATAAAAAAGCAATATTAATATCCACACATATAATCGGATAGGCTTCTGTTAACCTAAAATTTACATTAAATACGCCATTCATAAGCAAAGAAATAAAAACAGACAAAAACGGCGCATCTTAGAATTTAATAAAAATTTAGATGAATAGTTTTTGGCTGAATTACTAAAATATTCAAAATTTATAAATGATAGGTGACACATACCTATTAAACGATCCGATTGAATTTTTATAGAGAAAATATTTAAAGATATATAAAACATTTAGATTTAAAAAATTCCAATAACAGATTTAAAAAATTTCAAAATAATATTCGTAAACAAAAAACATGATGATATCGAATATTTGATATCATAACGATAATAAATCTCTGTGATAAATTAATAATTAATTACATACATACGCACACACAATTTATTTATCGATAAATTAAAAAAATTGAAATCGTACCATCGCATAGCGTGCAATTATGGTAAGACATTATGTGATAAAAAATGCATCCCGCGTCCTTAACCCAATAAGTGGTCTTGCTGCCTTGCGTGCTGCGATGACAGCTTCGTTACACTAATTTCCTCCTTTCGTGTCTTGGTTCTCCAAGAAACGGCGGAAGAGATACTGACGTGTCACAAGATCATGTTTCTCACGTTTCTCTTACATCTACGCAGCTCTCGGTTGACCATGTCAAATATGTTTAATGGTATGGTATGCAATTATCTAGTTAGATGGTCTAAACTCTTCATTTATTTTATTTTCAAGTATATTTAATCAAGTATATTTAATTCGTTTTGAATCTCCGAGCCAATAGCTTCACAAAAGTAGCATTAAAAATTATAATATAATTGACACCATCATTGACTAGAAACTTACATAGTATTAAGAAGATTTTTTACTCAATCAAGATTGTATGCAATAAATTTTAACTCAAAATACTTTATGTATTTTTTGTAACATTGAAAATGACCTGATTGGAGTTGAAACGCTTATTTTAGTTATTTGTATATCGTGATTGTTTGAATTAAATTTGTTTGTTGATTTACTTAACTCTCTCTCTCTCTCTCTCTCTCTCTCTCTCTCTCTCTCTCTCTCTCTCTCTCTTTTTTTTTTATTTACTATTTTATACATATAGAGCCGTGTAATTACTTTTATAAAAAAAACTATCTTTTCCATAATTTCTGAAAATTAATATTTTATACAACATTAAATTTATATAACACTTTCATATATTAATTAATAACGGTGCATCGAATAGAAGCTCTTGAATATTCTGCAGGGTTGGGAAAGTTACTTTACTTATAAAGTTACTTTTTATTATAGAAAATTGAGTACAATTAGTTTGAGTATTTTATTTTTTATATTATATTTTATTATTTGCTTCAATGTTGTATTACTTTTTGTACTCAATTTCCACAAACATATAAGGTAATAAAAAAAAATAACTTGTAATTAATTTAAAAGGTAACTTTCCCAACCCTGATATTCTGTATAATTCTTTCACACACGTAATATAATTAATTAATATTATGTAATATAAACTATGATGCAATTGTAAGTATATGATTTTCGAATGTGATTTATTATACAAACCTGTTTTGTATTACTAGAAATTCTTCTAATCCTATTAACTATCGGAGAGACAACCTGTTTTGCTACAAAATCCGGTTCTGTTTAATATTTTTTCATCAAGTGTCGGTCAATCGAACATAATTCGCTCCTAATTAGTACTTATTTCAGAAAACAATTGATCGATTGTTGTTACGACACAATCTTGTAATACTGATCACAAAAAAAACATTTGACTAATACAATATCGAGCGCTCAAGAAATATCCCATTCATCCGTGTCGAAGATTTGCAACAGTTTAACGCGGCCACGGCTAAGAATTAACGGCTGATTGAGCATTCCTTCAGTTTCTCAAGGGAAGTCGAGAGAGAGAGAAAGTCCGGTTTCACATTATATTCTTAAAAGGAGCAAATGTATAACTAATATTATGAAACGAATTCCGCAATGTCAAACGTGTCTCAAGATTACGATCTGTTTAATACTGAAAATTATCATTTACCGGTTTGTCGTAAACTTTCATTTAAACTTACATTCATTGTAATATTATCGAGAGAAGAAGATATATACAAAAATAGAATTTTAAGAAATATTCTATTAATTCATCGATATATTGTCTCTAATTTAACGTAATGGTGTTTTCTCTAAAAAAATCAATTCTTCATTATCGCAATAATTACAATGTTAAAAAATTTGAAGAGATATTTTATTTGAAATATAAAAGATTAATATAGAAAAATTCATGTTTTTTAATATAGAGAAGCATTTTCCTTCCAATACGTGTGATTTGTTTATGTTTTATATATAGATTCATACAATGATTGTTTTTACACACATAAATCGATTTTTTTATCATTTTCATACAAAAATATTACGATAATAAAAAAAAAAATACTTTACGAAGATAAATTTTATTCCGTTGTGACATATGATAGATCTGAAAATGTAATAAATCAGGATTATAGAGCGATGAAGTAATAACGTGTAGTATGATCTATAAGAGCATCTCGCAACTTGCTGCCATGACCTTCGGTCGATTGTTCGATCGAATTCGAAAGGCAAGACCTTGGGTAAGAGTCCCGAAGAAGGTGCTGAATCTATCGTTGAATTTTAAATCATCGCGCGCGAAAGTAGCGCGACGGGTTCCCGTCGAATTCGACATTAGGTATGCATATAGATTCGCGGCTACAGGCTACCGTTTATTTATTCTCGGATAACACTCATCGTAACGTCTCGTCGTAACGAATTCCTTTCGTATTAGACGTCGCAAAGCGCCGCATTACGTAACTGGAAAATATATATATCCACCTGTAACAGCGCTTGCATAAGAAAATCATTTCGTCGAAAACCTTGCGCATAGTAAGATCGAACAGCACTTAGACTATAATATATACAATTATTTTATCTTTATCTGAATATTACGGGGAGTAATTCCATTAAATAAATAAAATGAAACGAAAACAAAGGCAAAGACGTCAAACACTTTTTTCCATCTCTTTTCTTTCTTTGCATTCAAATGCATATATATGTATGTACGTTCATATTTACGATCATACAGAGTCGCACGTAATAAATTAAACGAGACATTAATTTTTTTCGTAACAAGCCTTTCACGTGCGTGCGTCGCTATCTCGATTCAAGAAGACGATATCGTGACAGACGATATTTATCCATAATGAGAGAAGTCAGAAACGATTTAAAACGATCTAAAAAAAAAAAAATAAGGGCAAGTTCTTCGGGTAAAAATTACGATGCGGTGGCCGTACACGCTCACTCGCATGCGTAATAAACCCGCCGCGCCGGCGCGACACTGAGAAAATCGCTAAATAAGGAAATCATTGCTGGACACTGCCGACGTTGCTGCTTCTGGTTGCTACTGGAAATGCTAGTAAGCAGCGCGGCTGAAGTTCAGGGTCAATCCGCACTAGCCGGCAGGCCGGATTACGTTCGCGCTTACGCTCACGTTCTTCTTTCTTCTTCTATTTGGGCCTTGAAGAGTTGCCGGGCAGGGTCTCGTGCCGCGCGTTACACGGACGTAACAGATGACTGGACGAAGTGTTACCTACGAAGAGAGTCGAGAAACGCAAGTGGTGATCACTAAGCACGCCGTATTCAGCATTAATGCCATGCCGTTCCAACGACATCAACGCAAATATGGTATTATTCTGTCAAGTTTGGATTTTAATTATAGAGAGGCAACACAGAATGGTGAAGATTAGCCTTTCTCGGCAATAATGATAATAATAATAATACCACGAGAATTTCATGATTTTCAAATTACATCAATTTCGTGCTTCATTCAATTGAGACGTCACTCATAAGATAGCTGACTGGGGGTTTAGTGAATGCTTTAAATTAGAAAATACCCTTTTCCTAATTTTTTGAGACTTCATATTTTTTAAAGACAGTATTCATAACCGGTTTTTATTTCAAGACTTTCCAAGTAATGTTTTAAAATGCTAATACACGGCTCTGTGATTATATTGTAATTTTACGGACCTTTTAAGATTGTACGATACTTAAAACAGTCTTAAACATATTAAGAATTAATTATGATGAATATGGGCCTCCCTCCTTTCGATTATTTATCACGTTCGTGTAGGAAATTAAATTCCATATCAAGAGAAAATCCGTACTATTCGAAGCAAGAAGAATCAGAATCGCACGCTTTTACCGGTCAAGTCACGTTCCTCGTTTTCTGCGCGTGCTGTGCTGTGCTCTGCTGTGCTAAGAACAAAACTATCTCCGAACCGAATACCTGAGTACATGGTGTCGGTAAAATTCGTTTCACTTTAACGTCAGTTGATATTTCATGTGAGGAATATTATAGAAAACTTTAATTTCAAAATTAACCGCTCCGAAAATGACTCAAGGTATTATTTTATGATGGATGTTACTCTGCAGTATTATGAGCAAAACTTTTGATAAATTTTAAATTATGCAACACGCAGTGAAAGAGTGTGTACTTTTTTTTTAATTGATAATTTAAATTAGAGCAGTTTTTATTACTTGTATATGCAATAAAGAAATGGAAATTGACGCGACCATTGTTTAAAATCAATTTTTATCGTCTTCCAATTTTTTTCCTACAAAGTATCTACGAATTAAAACAGTAGAAGTGGTATGTCATCTTGATTAAATGTCATTAATGCTTATTAACGATGATGTTGATGATTAAGCATTAATTAAATTTAATAAAAATTTTCCATGTTTATTTTTAAAAAGAAATAAATCAATTTAGATTATATTGAGAAAATATCATCAAACATTATTTTCTAAATTTAATCAAAGTTCACTTATTTCTTTCTTATTTCTTAAGTTTGTTACTACATGTTTTTCATTTTGATTTTGAGATATACTGATAAAGTTAATACAATTTTTCTTGAGTATTTGACATCAAATAGTTACCTTTTATTTTGATAATTTCGAAATTTATCGAGATTAAATGTGTATCCATTTACTTTTATATCGATATTTATTATATTTTAATATACAGAGCACACACGGTAACAAAAATTTTGAATTGAAAAATTAGGAAGAAACAAATCCATTTTAATTTAATTTAGAAACATTGTTGGTTAAGCAATAATTAAATTTAATGAAAACGACACCTCATTTCCATTGTTACAATTTGCACTTGGAAATTTGGAAGACAATGCAAATTGACTTTAAACAACGGTCGCCTCTATTTTCATTTCTTTATTACACATGTGCTAAGAACTGACAACATTCGTCGCGCTTTCATAATTGTCTACGGTGAATCGAATATTCGGAACCGAATCTGCAGTATGCTGGCAGAAAAGAGAAAAGTATCGCAGCGTAAAACTGGCGCGGACGCGGTTCCTGAGGTCGGGACCTTAGATAAGAGGAGAAAGTCGATGAATTCGTAAATTCTACCGGCGTCGCCGTTCGCTTATCGCATCGCTGCTATGTGCGCAAGCACGCATATATTCCCGTATATACGTGTGCATGCGTATGAGTGTACTTTCGTCTGCGGCAATGATGCACACGTGTGTGGCGCGCGCGCGCGCACACACACACACACACACACACACACACACACAAGAGGCGACGATGCGCGGTACCACGTACACGCGAGCATTATAATCTCCTATCCGGATGGCGGACGTTACGATCTACCATTGAATCGAACAATGGCGAAACTGGGTTACGCAAATGTCGAGGCTGGAAATTAAAGCGCGAGACACCGGGGGGTTTAGCGGGAGGGAGAATACACGTCGCGGCCGAGCGATGAAAAAGATCGCGCGCCGTTGAAAAACGCACGCTTAATCGTAGGAAACGAGCGGTTCGTTAAACTCGATTGCAAAATTTTGCAAATGTACATAAATGTACGTGGATACTACGCTGCATTTCACCCACCCCCCCCCCCGCCCCTATAGCTCCAGGAACTACGATCTGAATTTGATACTTTTCTAACAAAAATGCAAAAAATCTCGACAATCGATAAGTCATGAATAATCGAAGGTAAAAGTGCTTCAGATTTTAAGCTCTATTCGAGCACTCCAAACGAGTAATCGATTATTGTTTTTCAGTAATTTTCGAACCAAGCCATATTTTTACAGACTTTGAATTGTACGATTAGATCACGAAGGATGGGTAGAGTTTATTTATTTAAGAAGAAAATCGGTTTTGAATAGTCGAATTGAAGAATTCACGTCACGTGTGGTTTCGGTATCACTTTTACTGATGAGAGGCTCGTTTTGTCACGCGCAATCGATGTTGTTTCGACGCGTTCAATGTGTTATTTCATGGTTTTCGGAAATTGTGGGTTTGTATGGCTGTAAAAATACGAGTCGTGACAGTCCTGATTAAGGTGAGGTCGCTGAAACCGCGTGGGCCTATACTAGCATGGATTGAGCAACGCCGAGAGAGAACTCGTTACGGGACCTGTGTAATGGGGCCCAGGCGTTTCCGCTCCATTTTTTGTGGGCCCAATTACGTTTTGCCAGTCTGGATAGGCTGTGTTTCGCGGTCTCATTGTACCGCTGGCCTCGTGTACGTACGTTCACGTATATACGCGTCGGACCATCGATATCCACTCGCTTGGAACGCTAAGCAATACCCCATGGAGAAGTGATCCTTCACCACAGAGCGCAGTTAAGCTGATTACTCGGAGTAAAGATTTTCGAAGGAATCGCGGGTGAACAAGCGACATCGGTCTTTCACGATACATTAAGCAGAGACAAGCGGTACGAGAAACACATCTTCGTTGAGAAGATACTTTTATCGAGGAAATAAAGAGACTACGGAGATTAATGATATTTATTAGGAGTAAAGAGTGCATTTTTCTTTTTTTTACTCGTATAATGGAATTGACGTGTCTTCTTTGAAACAAATTTCACAGTTCTCTCATAGAAAAATTACATACAAAAATGTAACATGTTGATAAGTTCGTATTTGTAATTATCATAATTATCATGATTAGGCAAAGATAAAACTTTACAATGTTCTTTTCTTGCATAGAACAGTTCTTTTTTTCTATAATAGTACATGGCAAAAATAATTTTACTGAAATAACTAAAAATTTAAGCTATATATAGATATGGATTTAAAAATAATTTTGGATTATTGAAAAAACAATTATGTAAGACGCACGTAAACTGGTTGTTATAGAAGAAAACTTTTTGTAGCATCGTGGCTCTCTCAAAAAAAAAATCTACGTACAAAAATAGAATATAAGTGGATAAGTCTATATTTATAAAAAAAAAAAAAACTATCATAATTAGACGAAAACAAAACAATGATATTTTTTCTTTATTTTGCATGGAAAAGTTCTTTCTGGTAGTGTCAGCCTTCATTTAAGAGCTGCGCCGCTTGCGTTGATAGCGCACGCTAGTAAAAACATCCGCACCTATTTTCGACGCGGACTAGTTTTTGTTCGATTCGTGGACAGTCGATTCGAGAACGCGTCTACGTTTCCGTCGTCCAAGAATAGCTTCGTGGTTCGCTGACTTCCCGTATCGCGGCCGCGCATTGTATTGTACACTTGGCGTCTCGGGGAACGAAAACGCTCCGAGCGAGGTTATGACACCCCGTGAAACCGTGGAGGTGACTCACACCTTTCCTCGATTTCGAATCACCATTTTCCACCTGGTCTCTCACGCTCTCCCTCTTGCGCATCGCTCCGTCGACTGTGACGTGCTCTCTCCGACATCCTCTTCTCCTCCTCCTCTCTCTCTCTCTCTATACTATTCTTTCTTGTTTCTAAAAGGTTCTTCTGCCCTTTCGCAATTTACCGAGTACCGAACAGAAAAGCATTGCCTTTCCTGTCCGGAAAGAGTGCGCCCTTCACCGGAAGTACGTGCGTGTTCATGCGGTTTCCTAAAAAAGTATCGTGAATTCTTCATCCTAACATCATTGACGAAAGGGGACTAACGAAAGGGATCGTTTGTACAATTGTACGCAAATGTCTGCCGATTGTATATCGTGTGCTGCGATCCGTGATTCATTCCCATAGAACCATTTTATCGTTGATAGTATAATGTTCTGACGGGATAGAGAGACGGGAACGAGATAGAGCCGCAGTTACTGCTGCAAAGTTTGAATCAACCTCCGGATTATCAGTGGAGTAGTAATCTATTTAACGTTAATGTGTTCAATTTTCCTTTCGTGACATCATATTAACACGTAAGTATACGCGTCACGAAAGTCACGGCAAAAGAAGAACGCTTTTGTAAAAGCCTCCAGAAGATTCAATCTTCGTTAAATTCGAAGGTTGTGTCGTTTGTCAACCATTCCTACTGTCTGAATCCTTTAAATCCATATCAACATTCTGTCTGAGAGACCGTGAATCGTTGATCAATCAATTCGATTAGATGATCAACGATTCGCAATTCACAATCGAGATCCAATCTGCATCCATAATACGTAGTGTGACATGAGCTTAAGGGATCCGGATCTAGAAACGCTGACGATTGACGAACGACGAGAGTTGAATTTGACGATGAGATCGAATCTCCTGGTGACTTTTTAGCGTCAAGAGTCCTAAAGCTAGTGGCATGTAGAAAATAATAAGCAGAAAGATATAAGTGGTAAGCGAATCAATATTTTGGATTGGCCTATGTTATTGTTTTACATTCTCTAATGTGATTGATCGATTCACTCACTGCTTATGTTTTACTGCTCTACGGTTTTCTATGTGCCGGTTTAACCCTTCGCGAACCAATCGGGTTTTTAGAGACCCAAACAAAAAAAATTTTCAGTTTTTAAACTTTTTCTACTTCAAATTCAGATACGTACCAAAAAAAAGTGAAGCACTGCTTTTATCATTATAAAATCGTATTCTTGAATGTTGAAAGAGTGCACCAGAATTTGTGTAAATTTTCTAGAACCCGAAAACTATTTGAAAAACACAAACCCCACACATTGGGGTCACTGGTTGGACTAGGAAAGCAGTAAAAAAAAAAAAACAATGAATCACGGAGGGCTAATCATTTTGTTCGAGGATTGCAACGCGATTTCACTTCATAATTGGCAATTTTTACGATTAGACACGGAATTTATCCGCGATGGACCAACCGACCGATCGGCCATTCCACAGAGCGGAGTGCCAAAAATAGCAACGCGATCGAAGGCGACGGTGAACTTGTTTTTCACACGGAGGAGCGACAAAAGTTCCCGGCGCGCTCGATCAGCGTTTGCAGTCGTCGAGTCACCGGATACATTTCGTTCAAGGCCAGAAAGTAAAAAGCCTTTTCAGCTGCACTTACGTACGTACCGAGCTAGCCGAGTATAGCTCTAACTGGTACGCGCGCTCATACATACGTCACCCGTCCATCAGGTACACGCGATGCACGCGAACGCGCGGCTACGGCCTTGTGTGAGCTCACACATGCACGTCGCGCTCGTATACCTGAGTTGCGCGAGTGTGTGGTACGGTTGTGTGTACATACGATCGCGAAGGCGTCCCTCTCGGCCCCCCGAAGCGAGTCCGCGAAGCGGCTAGTTACATGATCCATTCATTATATAAGAACAATCGCCTCCTCTAATAGACACGCTCCATCATTGTGGATCTGAAGGGCACGCTCGGTGTGCGCGTGCGTCGTGCTCTTCTGCGTGTTCCAGCGTGTTTCACGAGAAGCGTCGGGGCACATACGCGAGATCGGCAATTCTACCAAAATCGGCGAAATTCAGCGCCGTTCGAGGAAATCGTCAAGGTCGCCATTGGTAACCGTGGGAATCATCGTCCGTCTCTGCGATTTATCGTTCTGACAATTCGCGATGGTACTTGCACGGTTTAAATGGCACGATTTTTATATTGGCCACGCAACATCGGTCATTTATGTAATAGGAACTAGTGCGAAGCAATTAAACAGATTTCTTTTCGAAATAAGCGACCTTCGCACGTATACGAAATGCATATTATTGCAACATATTGTTGCGTTTTATCGAAGTACATTTTTGCACAGTTTATCATTGTATTTAGATTTCCAAGCAATTGAAAACAAAATTTTGGCGTATCGAAGTCCACTTCTACATGTAATCTTGTGCGTTATATAATAAGATTGCACCGAAGATTCGACGAAAAAGGAACACATAAATCATAGTCAGATGAATATGCCGCTATCCTCGTAAAGTCTTCGACCAAATCAACTGTGGCGGAATTTCGAATCGTATTTCAATTTCGTAGTTAATATGCTGCGAACGACTTGTTTTCCGGAGATCCTGCCCTAAGTCGACCACAAATTTTACAGCGCAAGCGATTCTCGATTTTTTTTTTATTTACCCCTCTTGCTGACTTTGTGGAATATCAGCATCATTCCTGTTTATTCATTTACGCCGATTCCGCACGGCCTGCTCGAATACGCATGAATGTGTATGTGTGTATATGCGTATGTGAATCGGTCTTTATGCTATCAGCGTCTCCATACCGCCTTCTCTTACGTAACACACGATCGTTTCTCTCAAATGGACGACGTCGCCTCCTCCGCCACGTACGTAATCCAAAGGGCACTCTTGTCCTGCACTCAACGCCGGCGAGATCGCTGCAACGATTATACTTACAACCATCCATTTGATATTTTAAAAGTAATTTAAATATCACGAATGGTGGGTAGATAACATTTCGGTAATTTTTACGATGATGTACCGAGAAAGCCTGGAGAACAGTTGGGCGTCCCTTTGTGGCAGATAGTTATTAAGGAAATCTCTCGAAGCCGCATAATTAAAAGCACCGTTTCATTAATATTGCATTTTGAATGCATTGTGCGATATTGTTGACAATCTCTTACATCAAACGTCAGAGACTCCATAATAAAGCGGATATCCATTACTTTATCCATTAGAAATATAATACTAGTACTGGCTAATATTAATCTTATTTTAAATGTAAAAAGTATTGTTAACAGTACTTTTAATACTGAAAATATATACGTACATGATTAACTGGCCAGTATTAGTATTAAATTTCTACAACAGATGGAAATTTAAAGCTTAATAACTCTTTTCAAAAAGTTACTATATTTTTTGAATTTCTGTGAGTTTGCTAATTTTTAAATTTAAAAAACTACAAGTTGAAACATGAAAAATTTTTACTTTGTGGATCTTTCACGTGCCGAAAAAAAATTGCAAAAATGTTTGACTACCTATCGAAAGCTTGAAGCTTGAAGCTCTTTCGCTACAAAATGATTTTTCAAAAATGTTCCTACGATTTTTTGTTTCGGAGTTATTTGCGAGTTAAGTAAACGAGTATTCTATGTTAAAAATCATCATACCGCAATTATAATAAAAGAATAGATTCTTAAAGCTTTCCTCTATCGAATGATAAAATTTCAACGAAAATTTCACAACAAATGTCAGTTGGGGGAGGGTCCTTTACATATATCTAAAAGAAATTTCTTCCCAACCCAATAGATCCGAACAGATCAAGGTTAAAAATATTATTATTATTATTATTATAACTCCCGGTGACGAAAAAGGATCGCCTGTCTCAAAGAGTGATATAACTCCGGTAAATAATTCTACTATTACAAACAAACATGTAGATTAATTTTCTCGTACGTCTGTATCATCGAAATCTGAACTCAGCTTGAAATTATACCGGTTTCAATCCCTATCCTGGGATGCTGCATGCCTCTCTCGGACTCACTTTTACGAGATGTGCGGCGATAACGTGCGCTTTCGTCGTTGTGAATTCGCGACTTTTGCACGTCGAGAAAAAGTGCACGTCGACGACGCGCCGGCTCGAGTTACATAAATCATGCCATAAAACGAGTAATTTGATTACGTGTAAAGACCACGACTACGCAGGTAAAACGCTCCTACTATCCGCGCAAATTACCGGATAAGCGCGGCGCTCGCGTTCTCACAAATTGTAATTACCATCCTGCGAGGCATACTTTCGTTCGTCCGCCGCTCTGCGTCGCATTTACTGTGAACTTACATTATTCCCGGAATGTATCTCGTCTCTATTCCCAATGCGAGCAATAATCCCTTACAAGACCATATCACGTGCGCAAACGTAGTTTGTCAAGTTATGGGTTCCATACGAATCTTGCGTTAATAATTGCCATCAATTATAATGCCGGCATAAAAAAATTTCAATTTTTTGTGATCCAAAAGTGATTTAATTGTAAGTGATCCACGATTCCATTCCTTGTAATTCCACTATGACGCCAGGAAAGGTATATTTAATTGACTCATGTATCTTTCTTTGCCGATTCTGCTCGAAAGAATTTTGTCTGAGAATTCAAATCGGATTTAGAGAGAAAAACGATTACAAAATATTACCTTCTCGAGAAAAGACGAGATGAAGAAATGCGAATTTGAAAGAGTCATTGGAAAAATACGGTCGCGATTGCATAACGATTGAACTCTTCTCTTTTTGTGTTACATATGGGTGATGTCCTATTATCGCCTACGCGGGCGACGTGAGAGTGGAAATGGGAGTGACGGCGAGCTCTGGAGATTCGGATGCGCTCAATGTCAAAGAGCGGGCTCGTCAACTGCAGCAGCTTTTACTGCGCAGCGAGATGCACGCGCCGCGCCTGACGGCGGGCACTTACGGCCGCGCGGATTAGTCATCCGCGGCGATCCGATCTCCGGGGCCTGTACGCGCGCGATCGGGAACTATTAAACGGATGACCTTTCGCTACTTAGATCTACATACACCCACGATCGGCCGGAACGTACGCGCGTGCACGCGCGCGCGTTACGCAAGAACGGACTCCCCGCATCCCTCACGCGCGCGCTCCTCGCTCTTCCTCTTTCCATTCGCTCGTTTTGTCCCCCTTTCCGCGCTCTTCTCCTTCCTTCTTTTTCTCCTCCTTCCTTGTCGCCTGCTGCCGCTATGCAGTTTCCCGTGCAGACGGACGTGCGGCGTTCCGGATACGTGAAGGGCACGCTCTGTTCATTCAATGTATTACGTTGAAATATGAAATTTCATCTTATAGGATAATAATGAAAATTGGACTCGTTACGTCGGGGAGATATTTGATTTTGATGAAGAAATTTCTGTAGAAAAAGGTGGAATAAATACCTGCTGTTTCGTTAATTTTAAGCTTGATTTTAATGGAAATCACTCTTAAATCTTTTAACTGTGTATAGGCATATAAATTCATTCTGGAACTTACATAAGTAGTGGAAATTCAGGAACTATCGATATAGAATAATATTGTACTTTACGAACATAAATAAATCAATAAATTATGGAAGTGTCAATTACTGTCTTTTTTCTAATATCAGACAGCTATCCGTTTTATGCCGAATGCATCTCATTACGAGAGAACAAGTATTATTTATGTAACTTTCTGACGTCGTATTTACTGTTAACGACAAGCATCGTTATTAAAGCAGTTGATGCGGCTTTTCATGCAAATAGAAGGCGCAAAAAGAGCCGCGCCAAAGTCGCAGTAGAAATCGGAAGATGTAGATGAATTTTTTCTCGTCACGCAGCGTCTGTACGAGCAACTTCACACGCCGCATTTACATTCTCCACCTCGGGAACGCCTCGCGAATGTTATTTTAATACAGCTAAGATCGCCGCTTTTGGCGTGGCCTTGCCGTAAGTGAGTCAGGCGGAAACAAGGTATGTCCGCATGTAAGTGAAGATCGTTTCGTGGTAAGTCAATTCTCGCTCTCTTTCGCATTTATGCTAATATAATGCATTTCTCGAAAAACTCCATGTTAACGTTAGTGAGAAATCAGAAGTAAAATACCTATCACAAAAATCGAATAAATAATGAGAAATCACGATTCCTTTTTAATTCTTTATATGATGGGAAACTGTGACGTAATGCACCGATTGTTTTTCACGCGTTT